AATGAAAGTAAGCCAGAGAATGCTCGGATCTGCCTGCATCTGCCTCTTGGGATTAGAGCAGCCCATGGAGAGGGCAGAGGCTGTTGGACACAGCTGAGGGGTCCTGGCCTTAGTACTACCTACACCTCCATGACGCCTGTGCTCCCCTTTGCAGCCCCACCCTCAGGAGGGTGACTTCCAGCTCAGGTACCTGGAGGCTGCTGGTTGGCCCTGGGGTTGCTGTGTCTGCTGTGCCGTGGGTTCGTCTGGGACGTGGCCTGGAGCTCGGCCGGGGCCAGGGACCAGGCCGCAGTGCTCTGCGCTGCTGAGCATGCTGGCAAGGTGGGAGTGAGAGCATGTGATCTGGAAGGTGGGGAGAAGTGCAGCACCATATGGCCAGAGCTGCTGACAGATTAGCTTGCTGGGCCCCACCTCGCCCTCACGCCTGGCTTCACACCTCGGTCCTGCCCAACACTGGTCTGAGAGCTTGGGGCAGGAGCCATCTGGGTCCTCTCCTTTTCCCCCATTTTGCCACTTAAACACACAAAAGTAGCAGTGGGAGAAAGGGTCCTGGGGCCTGTGACCCGCAGAGTGGCTGGCGGCTGTCCCTCCCTGGCCAGGAGCAGCTCAGCAGTTTGGATGCCCCAGACCTGCTCTTGAAGGCTCAGAGAGTTCTTGGAGCTCCCAGACCCCAGGCCCTAGGGTGGCCGCAGTGACTTGACCCACAGCCTGGGAGGCCCCTGAGGTGCATCCGCTTCCATGAGCATCTTGCTAATTGACCTTTTGAAGCACAGGGCTCTTTACATCTGCAGGGTTTGAGTCCTGAAAATAAAACAGCTCCTCAGGGGTCCTCTGAGGGTAGCCCAACGAATCCTCACTGAAGGGCCACCTATATTTCCAAGGTGGCACGATGGAGGTAAGGTGCAAGGGGCCAAGGACCCTCTCTGCTCTGGGTTTCCAGGGCATCAGCCAGCCCAGAGGCCCCAGACTTGGGGTCGGAGCAGCTTACTCAGATTCCTAGTGCTAACTGGACAGAGGGTGTGCACAGGGAGCTGTGTGGCCGCGTGTGTGTTCGGACTCCACACTCAGGCACACCCCTCGCCATCGTCCTCAGCAGCTGGGTCTCCCAGTGGTGGATGCCTGGTGCCTCTGCAGCAGATCCTGCAGACCCTGGCCATGAGGCCATGCCTGGCCCTGGCTGGGCACCGCTCTTGAGGTCTCGTGTGGGTGGCTGTGAGGTGTCCCCTCCTCACCACTAACACAGACGAGCCAGTCCCCGTGTTCAAGGGCTGCGGGGCCCCGTGAACTTGCCACCTTCTCTCACCCAGCAGCATGTCCTGAGCAGT